GCTAAGGGATGCTGCAGGAGAGAAAGGCAAGGGCACCGCTGCCTGGAGGAGCTGCAGCTGCAGAAGAGCGAGCTGCAAAATGCTTTGCGTGTCCTTTGTGGAGGGAGAGGAATAGAGATGAGGTGGGTGGGGAGATCCAGGCCATCGTCGTTGATAGTTTCTTCTGTATTACACGCTAGGGGTCTGTGTACACCCAGGAGCTGACTGCCTTTTAAATTGACGTCTTTAATACTCGTATGGTTTGGCGCTCCCTGTGTGCAGTTCTCTCTCCTCCCAGGCCAGTGAAGAGACCTGCTTTGATTACTTCTCTTTTAAGGCTCGTAAATCAGGATCACTCGGGGCTACGCATACGGGCAGCCCTATGTCCTGGCCTCGTGATTTTGTGCAGGTGTGGTGGTGCTGGGGCCGGAGATTCGGCCGGGCAGGCCGGCAGCCCATGATGTGCCCTGGGCTGGCGGGGAAGACGGGCCAGCAGATGGGCGGCAGCAAGCACGAAGCTGCGGTGGTGCCTTCTGCAGGGCCCGGGGGCCCTCGCTGCTGCCCCCTCGGCTTCTGCCCCCGGTGGGTGGGCCAGAGCTAGGGGAGAGCTGCTGCTTTAAGCAGCCGAATGAGGTGATAGAGATGCAGCCATAAGCAGCCGGTGCTGAAGGCACCGCCACGTCAGAGCCTGCCCTGGCATCCAAGGGTGCCGTGGGGACCTCCGCGGCCCTGGGACCTGCCTGCATCCTCACAGTGCTCGGGCTGCTGGTACTTGGCTCTGCTCCGACGATGGCCAAATGCTGTTTCTCGGGGATTGCTGTGGCTGGGAGGGGGATCACTGGCTGTGCGCTCTGTGGAGATGAGGGGAGAGCGTGTGCATCCCTCTTCCTCTGGGCTGCGGGCTTTGCTGAGGCAGCGTGCGTGGAATTGGTAACGGTGGCGAGAGGCAGGCGGCATTGCCTTGTGCCTGCGGGCGGCAGGACGCGGTGCCAGCCGCGTGGCCGTGTGCCAGCTGCCGAAGACAGTACTTGTAAAAACACCCCGATTCTGTAGGCGCACGTGGAAAGTCTCCCCCTGGCTGTGCTCTGCCTGCCTTGGTTTTTCTGCACGGCAGAGGTGATGCTGCCCGCGTGCAGCAGCTTAGCTCCTTACGCCAATCGTGACGGCGTGAAAGGTTTGCGGCCGCCGGTGACTGGCTGTTACGAGCTTGACCTCGGGATGCTTTGGCACCTGCTTCGTAGATGCTCTTGCTGCTTTCAGAAGAGGGGAAGAGGGGTGCCTGCGCTCTCTTCCCTTTGTTTCCACTTTGTTTTTTGTTTCTAGCAGGTATGGACGGGAAGAAATGCAGCGTGTGGATGTTTTTACCTCTTGTGTTTACCCTGTTTACTTCAGCCGGATTATGGATAGTGTAAGTTACCTCCTGCCGGTTATTTGGGAGCACAAGCTAGGCTGGGGCAGCTTGGAGGGCTCTGGTGGTGCGGGCTGTGTTTCAGTAGGCAGTCTTTCAGGGATGCTTTGCCCCGGCACAGCCTGGCTCCTGCCCCGCACAGGCTGTGCCCCGGCTAGCTCAGAGATGCAAGAGGGCTTGCGCCTCCAGTTCATGGCTTGGAGGATCACATTTATGTCCCTGTGTTTCTTTGCTCCCCAGGCCTAGTTTCTGACCTCGCCTTCTTCCTAGTGCATGCTACTGGGAGCTGAAAAAAAGGCAAACAAAAATGCAAGAATTCCCCTCCATCACCTTCTCTTTAAATGACTCAGCAAAGCTCTTGGGCAAGCGCTTAGGCCTTGCTTTGGCAGAGCACGTTGGACCGCAAGCTCAAATTCCTCAGCATCCAGCACTGTATTGACAGCCTGCCAGGAGCTTCATGCTGACACCTCACTTTCACCCTTATGTTTCTTAGCAAAATTCACCCAAGACTTGCGTTTCGCTAAACTGGGCTCTCCCCAAGCAGGCAGGCAGCTGCAGCGTGAAATTGGGCGCGATCAATGTGCGATCAGCAGCTCCGCTCAGCCTGAGAAGGGGCTATATTGTAGGTTGCGACTTTGTCCACGGGTCTGTGGACATTGTTTTTCAGCAGCAGGGGCAGCTTAAGCCGTTTGTATGCCCCCCATTGATTATTCTTCTTCTTGCCCCATCCCTTCTGTTTGTGGGGAGCACGGTGAACCAGGTGAACGAAATGATTCAGGTGAAAAATGAAAGCGCTCCCCTGGGTGGTTATTTTTAACCCAGTTCACTTCAGTGACCGTGTTTCTCCAGCTGACCAGGCGAAACAGATGTAACACAAAGGTGGACACAGAGTTGGGAGGGGAAATGAGTAGGTGAGCCATCCTGCCTGCCTGAGCAGAGAGAAACGCAGGCTGCCTCCAGCAGCACCTGATTTTGGCTGACCTAGGGCCAGTGGGCTTCGAGGCACTTTGTCTTGTTTGAGTGATATTTGGAATTGAAGGCAGAATGAGGTCTTACACTGCTTTGGTCTTCTTTCCCATTTGACAGGTACTTTATAGCAGTGGAAGATAACAAAATTATCCCGCTAAGCGTGCCAGAGAGGTAAGAGTTGGTTGTGGGTTTTGCTCTGTTTAAAATCAGTTGTTTGCTTAAAATAATTAAACAATAAAAGCTAAGTGAGAGAGAAAATATTGACTCTTGGTTCCTGTGCATTTATGTCTCCTAGGAAACCTGGTTCCAAAAGACCACCTTATATAAGGTAAGTGAATAATTTTCTTCCAATTATCATTCTGATTAATGGGTGTTATTTATGTGTCTTTGGCTTTCCTGAGTTACAATGATAAACTTTATATTTTCAAAGTATTGCAGGTGATGCACCTCCTGCAAGCTGTGTCTTTAGCCAAGTCATGAACATGGCAGCATTTCTAGGTAGGAACTACAAGGAGAATGTTTCTCTCATTATTCGTTTTAAAAAGTCATTGGAACATAAGTAACATCCAGTACGTACTGTTCATGGATCTGATGATGTGAAATCCTTTGTACTGCTGTTGCTACTGATTAAGCCAGTATTATTTTGTCTGCATTTGTAGAAACACACAATGAAGCTGGATGCATTTGAACTTTTAATTGCCTTGTGTAGTTCCCGTCAGTGTTTTAGGAAAAAAATCACACAATTTCAGGGGAGTAATATTTTTGTTTTCTAAGGATCCTGTCCTGTTGAGATAGAAATGAGAAAGTTGCTGCAGGGGAGCTTACAGAGTCACAGGGTTGCTGCCCCTAACAATTAGCTGAAGAGGAAAAACAGAAAAATCTCTTTTTATGGAGAACAAAGTTGTTCTGTTTTCCAAGCTTGGGAGGGTACTGATTCTCCAGAGCAAATTGTGAGAGAGTGAATGAAGACAGTTTTTGCAATTTGCATAAAGGTGGATATTTTTCATTTACAGTGCCCTTATTTTTCTAAACCATGTTTTTGGTATTATAGCAGGGGTTTTGTGGATAACATAGATCTATTTTGCTAACACGGACAATATACAGCCACGTGACCAGCAGATGATCAGTTTGAGCATAAGCATAAGAAGGTGTTCAGCAGCAACCAGCCAAACATCGCAGCTACCTTGCTTTTCAGTGGTCTGTTTTGAATGCCAGCCAAGAGCAAAGCGATTGCTTAGCTTTCTGTGTTGCCCCAGAAGTATTCCCTAGGGAGTGCCAGAGTAAACAACATGAAAAATCTCCTATGACATACCATGCAGCATATACCATGCCTCATATACCATATCATGGCCCTTTGGCTAGAACTGCAGCCTCAGAAGGGCTGCTCTTCCAGTCTTTGCAGAAAACTAATGCCATATTCCAGGCTGTTTATTTTGATCAGCTTAGGCGAAGCTTGAAAGATCTCAGTATGTTCGGGGGACCAGCTCCTGCTTCCAGCGGATGAGAGGAGACATTGGGCCCTATGGTAAAACCTGCAGAAGTATGTATATGCTGGTTGTAGGTTTTCTAACGTGGCTGGGCTTTGATGTGCCTCCTCCAAGAGAGCTCACGCCTAGTCAGTGGAGCGATACTTGACACAAGCCCAGATACTGTGGTTTGAGCGCATGGTGTGTACTGAGTGCTGGGAGCCTCGCAAATAGGAAGGTGCTCTTCTTTTCCTCTCAAAGTTTTCAACCTAGCTCCTGGACAAAACACAAGGAAGAAGGGAAGCCGGAGGTCTGGCATTACCTGGGTTAGAGGAGAACGTCTTCCTGAATTTCATGTCTTATGTGACTAGTGGGAGGGGGGCCATGCAGATGCACTGAGCTAGTTTGCCGGCAGCCAGCCCTCTGCTTCAGGTGGAGAGCAGGGGGGTCTGTGAGTGCCCTGGCCAGGTAGTTACTGCAGCATGTTTTACATAATGACGCGCTTTCCATTCTCCATTTCTTCCTCAGCACTTGTCCTTTCTGTCCTGCGCTTCATTCAGCTGAAGCCCAAGGTGCTAAACCCTTGGCTGAACATCAGCGGCCTGGTGGCATTATGCATGGCCTCCTTTGGGATGACCTTACTTGGCAACTTTCAGGTACGGCGCGCCAGGCTCTCCCCCTCCACACACCCCGTTATTAGTAGTTAACCTGCTCTTCCTCTTGGACCGCTGTGTCTGCGTTGTGAGGTGCCTGCTTTTCTAGTAGATCTGACCAAGTGAGTCTTCGAACTGCCTGTGATGTGAGCTCTGGAGCTAATGTGTCTGGCTGTCTGTCCCAGAGCTCCTCTGCTTGCTCTGCCGCCTCTTTGTGCCGCAGTAACTAGCTCCAGTGACATGCTGAGACGAAGGGCCCTGCTAATTTTTCCAAGTATTCCCAGCAGGAGTTGCACCTGCATGCTTATGCTTCACGTGCCAAGAGCGAGAGCCGGCACCTACCAAATCTCTTGAACCCTGGGGTTTGGCACGGATGGTCCTGGGTAAAAGGACTGAGCTGGAAGTCTACATATGCATCTGTGTTAACAGCTGCATGGCTGCCCGCACGGATTTAGCAGGGAGTCTTGTGTCCTTCATTTAAAATGTGTTTGTTGATTAAGTCTGCCTCCTGCTTGTCCTCAGACTGGCCACGGGAGGCACACAGTAGAAAAATCCTTCTCCTCCTTATGTGATGGGTGCCCTGGCTGCGGACCCCTGTAATTCTCAAACTGTTCTGCTACATTATCAGTACAGATAAACAAGCTGTCAGCTGCACAAGCTTGCTCTGTAGGGTGATGAGTCCGATGTGATCGCAAGGCGGTGTCTGTTAGGCTTGCCCTGCAAATCAGGTCTTTGGAGTCAGTGGCATTTGGGTTTCCCCATCCCACTGCTGTCTCTGATGTTCTGCCTCTTACTGGGATGCAAGTCACGAGCCCTATCTGCTGAGACCTGAGAAAGGTCAGTGTAGGCCAGGATCGCTTCTGCCTTTGCAGGCAGAAAGCTGTTTTTCCTGCTAATGCAGAAAAGGTACGAGTTTTGTGAAGGGCAGGTACCTGCTCGGGTCATGGAGTGGTTACAGGAACTCTGTGTCCTTTTCAGTCTTTTTTTTCTGTCATGAGGTGGGAGCTAATTTGATTGTTTTGGACTTTCTAACTCCACGTGGCTTTCTTAGAGTCACAGCTCAAACCAGAAACTCATGGTCTTGCTTTTTCCTGACAGCTTCCCAGCTGGGAACTATGAGGCTCTTTTAACAGCCTTGTATAGGTGTGAGAAGGATATTGCTTGTACGTACAGCACAGGTGCTGGGAAGCAGTTTCAACCTCTCCTTCTGTTACTTTCCCCTCAGAGCAAATGCCTGGTTTTTAAAAGGGGATACTTTGAATCATTCTAGGTTATGTATTCCGGACTAATAATCCCCGCCTTGTTGTTTAGCTATATTCTTGCTTAGATCTTGTGCCAAATCATGAAAGTATGTGGTAATTAGACCTTAGTCCATGCTTTTTCCTGCCTGACTGCTGAGCTGAATGTGGTATTAAGTCGCACATTTGGAAAATTACAGATTGGGATGTTTTAGAGAGATGTTAAGGCTGTGAGTCCCATGCAGTGCAGGCTGCCTTGGGAAAGCCAGCTCAGCCCCATTTTGGTCTGTGCCATCCTTTGAACCTACCCTTAAAAAAAAAAAAAAAGGAGAGGAAGAGAGGGAGAGATCAGTGAAGGCAGAGTAACAAGTCTATTAGTTTGTAAGTTGTGGCTTGTTTGATGAGAATTTGTTAAATCACAGAACAGGAATCAAGGCTGCAGGGAGGAATTACGGTTTTATAGTTTCTTTTCTAGGGGATCGTCAGAGGCAGAGGGAAAAGGGAAATTGTTCGGCCTAAATCTTGCCTGTGCTGGGCTTTCTGAATGGGTTCGCATCCTGGAGGGATCTCTTTGCGGACGCCTGCTTGTTAAGCCTGACTTTCCTGTTGCCTTGCAGTAGTGCGTGGTCAGTGAGCCCAGTGTGACAGGGGAACCAAGGGACGGAGAAGCACTTGCCCTCTGGAGAAGTTGGGCTCTCATTGCCTCCGACCCTGGTGGTTGAGGATGGGCGGGAGAGGGGACAAGCAGTCAGCTTTTCCTTGGGAGAAACTTGCCAAACCAGGAGCGCGCTTTCTGTGGTTTGGCTCCTGCTACCTCAGAGGCAGTGTGAGGGCTCTGGCTGCTCTCTGCCCAGGCAACGCTGCTCTGTGCCGCTGGTGCTAAAGGTTGCACGGTTTGTTTCCATTGTATGGAGCCGAACAAGACCCCGGTGACTTGTCCTTGCCTGTCCTGGCCATCGTGTCAAAGCAGGGAAGGATTTCTTTCTGAGCGCTCTGTTGGTGAGCCTTGTCAGGTTGCTGCAGAGGGGGTCCCCAGGAGCTTGCGTTTTCCACTGTGCTTGGTTTTGGGCAGAAGGTCCACTTGACTGTGACACCTGTCCACTCACCTTGGTTACATTACACCTTACCTCTCAGCCAGAGGAAATGATACAGCATCTCTGTGTCACACTGCCAGTGATTCCCGCTCTTCTCTTCTCTCTCCCACCCCAGCAGCAATCCAAGCTGGATAGCAGATGATTTCTGCAGTGCCCAAACAGTAACAGTCCTGTTTCTTCCTAGCTTTCCAACGACGAGGAGATCCATAACGTGGGCACATCGCTGACCTTTGGCTTTGGGACCTTGGCATGCTGGATCCAGTCTGCCCTCACCCTCAAGATCAACCTGAAGAATGAAGGACGGAAAGTCGGGATCCCACGAGTTGCCCTGTCGGCCAGCATCACCCTCTGCGTGGTGCTCTGTATCCTTTTGTCCTGTTCCCCGGGAAGGCAGGTAACCTAGATGTCTGACTCTCTGCAGCAGGAAACGCTGGCTCTTCTCACATCCATCCTCAGATCTCAAAGCATTTCAGAGCGCTGCTCATCTTGTCTATTGGTGTAATCTTGTGGTTGGTTCCTTTGTTTCCCCTGTTTTACATCGATGCACCGCTTCACAAATGGGCTAAGCCCTCACTTCCCCCATATTTTTAAAACTTATTCGTAGTGATTTCTGAGGTGGTTATGATATTGGACAGCAGCCATGTGATTTAAAGGCACCACTGCTTACCTACCCAGTGGCATTTAAGGTCATGCAAAATATTGGGAGAAAAATCTCAGGAGAGCAGACAAACAAGGGAAGAAATCACGTTTCTGAAGACGAGAAGGATTTGATGTGTCTGTTAAAATACTCCAGGGTGATACAGCCAGGTCTAAGATGGGTATCACACTCAGGAGCTGCTGGGTCACACCAACTTCCAGCTAGAATGAGGCGTTTTACCAAGTGGGATTTTGGTAGTGGAGTCTGCAGTCTCGTAGACTGGGCATACTTGTGGTTTCCTCTTCACCTTGTCCCTGTTGGTCCCAGTCCAGCCCTTCTGTTTGCACCAGCCCTCATGTAGACTGGAGGGTTGCCTTGGCGGATCAGTTCACTGCATAGCTGCATCAACGTTAGTGCCGGGGCACCTAAGAGGACAGGAATAAACTGTCAGGAATAAGCTAATGCCCCTCTTTTTGGGAACAGCTTGTTCTTAAAATAATTTCCTGGTCGCTTGGCTGCTTTTGAACATTTCAGCAAGTGTCCGGAAGAATAGCAGACTGGTGTGGAGATGTACTGTCAGTCCCCGCTCAAACTTCCTTGGAAAAGTTTGCAGCGTGGCATCACGCTTTGGTGTATGTAAGGTGGGAGTTTGCCAGGTGCCTGTGGTGCTCTCCTCCTCTCCCTTTCTCCAAGCCCACACCTTCCCCAGGGTGTCTCTGGCTGCGCACCAGGAGCCGTGACGAGCTGGGTCAGGCACCCACTGTTCGGATGGGCTGCTCTGGTGAGTCAAGGCTTAGCTGCTCCTGCACTGACTCGCTGGGTGCTCCCAGCCCGGCCTTCCCCAGCTGGGTGCTTGGTACCGAGCGGCTTGGGCTCTCTGTAGGAGGGGAGGCTGAGGCACTCCCACTCTCCCCTCCCTCCCCTCGTTGGCGTTGCAAAGACTTCGGGCTGGCTCTCCACCCCGTGCAACCTGAGCGTAACCCTGGCGCTACGGGGGATGTGGGAGGACCCTGAAGCCAGACATACCATGTGGACACAAATTCTGTTTGCTGAAATGAAACCTTGGTTGCTCACGCTAAGCCCAAGCACAGCCCAAGGTGAAAAGCCTCTGATTACCTGCCCTGCGCAGTTAAAGGATGGGAGAAGCTGCTTGTTTTCTTGTTTTGTTGTTGTTATTTTTTTAACTTGTGAATCTGCGTGATCCTATGTTCTCAGAGTGCAGAGGAAATCCTGAGAGACAGACGAGCCAGTAGGTTTCAAGGAGATCTGCAGTGAGCTAGGGCAGTCCCCCAGGTCAGGAAGGTGTCCCGTGCTTTAGAGGAGCTGAGTGTGTGTGTTAATCTTAAGGAGTACTCAAACATGGCACAAGACCCAGCAGTGAGACCCTGGTGGCAGGCAATATGCAGTCTGAATACACAGGTATTTGAGCCTGGCAGACAGTTTCTGGCTCTGGCCAGAAATCACTACTGTCCTTTCCAGTATAACATGCCATATTGTGTAGATTAATGTTTCCAGATCTCACAGAAAGGGCTGATTTTGCAGGTGATCTGAAGAGACAGGAAGACAGCCCTGTGTAGGTTGTAAGGTATTCCCATGGCCTGAGGCACAGGGATCTGATCCAGTTCCTCCAGGAGGTTTCTAGAAGATAAGGGTGCTAGTCTGGAGCCCATAGCTGGAGGCGGCTGGCTCTGTCGCTGATCGGTGGGATGCTTCTTTTTGCCTTGTTCCCGCAACAGATGTTTGTCAGCTTCCCAGCTCCCACGAGCTCTGCCAGGACATTCTCCCTGACTTCCTCTTCCAGATTTCATCCTAATGGTGCAGGGCATCCACATGCACGCTGCCAGGATCCAGTGGGGCCTGGTGATGTGCTTCCTCTGCTACTTCGGCACGTTTGCGGTGGAGTTCAGGCACTACAGATTCGAGATCGTTTGCTCTGAGTACCAGGAAAACTTCCTGAGCTTTTCCGAAAGCCTATCCGAAGCCTCCGAGTACCAGACGGATCAGGTGTAGCCTGTCCTCTAGCAGGGGGGAGGGGAGGGGGCTGCCACGTTCTTATGGGTTAAACATGACCTCATTTACACTTTTTTGATAAGTTTGTTCTCCATGTGCAATCATGACCGTATTGCCAAAGGGCTCTGAGGGCGGCTGTCTCGTTAAGAGCCAAACAAAAATACCTGTCTGATGGAAGAGGAGTGGGTTGTTTTGAACTGCAACGCGAGAGAGCACAAGTTTATGCTACCAGTGACTCTTTCTCAGCAGCTGCTGCAGGCCTGTTGTTCAAGACATGAGCCAGCCGGTCCTCGCGATGCCTCTCCGAGGCCAGCACCCCTAGGACTGTTCTGCAGAGGAAATGAAGGGAAAGGACCTCTCCGGGCACAAAGAGCGTGCAGAAGTTGCCAGTTGCCAAGTCACTAGACTGCATCTGTCTTGCGTGTAACGTTGTTTTGTTTGCTTCAGAGCGGAGTAATTTGGTAGGGGGAAGACAGTGGCCGTTTCTTGGACTCAGCCAGCGGAAGACCCACACGGACTAGCTTTTCCTGCGAGCAGGCAGGCATTTCTTCCAACCTGCAAAGCAGCCAGGTTTGGGTGAGATCAGGCTGTCGAACAGAGCAAGCAGGCAGCGAGAGTTGGCTGACGCCGCCGTGTAGCCGGGTGGGCTGTGCAGGCAGCAGGGAGGCCGACACTCGCCACCTCGGTGGGGTGCTACGCTCGGCTTCACCTTCCAGACTCAGCAGCTGGAACTGAGCAAAGCGAAGTGCTCAGTTCAGACGTGAATGCCTGTACGCTCTAAAGATGACCCAGAGACAGTTGCTTTCTGTAAGTGTTTAGTGCTTCCACCACATACCACGCCGAATATTTCAAAAGCTTTTTTTTTCTTCTTTTTTCCTTGTAGACAGTGAAAAATGTTGTTTTTAAACATACTGGACTTGCCTGCAATGGAAACATACATTGCAGGTGGGTTTTACAGGCCTAGGTTTACTTCTGCTACCCATGCGCTTAGAAGTCAAGTTTCAGAGCTCTGCCTAGGCTCCAGACCTCCTGGCGTGGACGGTTTGCCTGAGCGGGGTCTGCCACAAGCTCTGGATTCGAAGGTTGCAGTGGGCTTCCAAGGAGCCCAGGCCCAGCGGGACGCAGCACGGGAGCAGCACTGCCCCAGGGCTCGGGGGATGTGGTGTGGCAGCTGCAGGTGCAGGAAGGAGCCAGGGAAAACAGAAGGCCTTCTCCCTCCCCGTCCCTTAGGGACAGGGAATTAACCAGCCCTTTCCTCTGAGCTGAATGACCAAAAAAAAAAACCAAGTAGTTTTGTTGTGTACTCCAAGCGGCGCTTGGCTTGGAAGGCTGACTGAAATACAAAAAGGAGAAACTTCCTGCAGACCAGTGGGCTGTTTTTCAAGGAAAAAGCAGAAGCCCAAACCCCCCTGCCTGAAACCCCTGAGTCTGGGAAAGCTGCTGTATTGGCTAGAGGAGGGAGGGAGCTGTTTCACAGGAGCATCGCTCCCGAGTCAGGCTACGCTGGTTTGCCTCTCTTGGCTGAGCCGACATGGGGCATCTTGTCATCCCTGCAGGAAAATAAGCAGCAATGAGAACAGTGGCAAAATGCATTTTAAGGGGGAACTCCTACCCCATAGTGACATTTCTGACGGAAAGGAAAGGGCACAGGGGAATTCAGTGCTCTGCAAAGGTCAGAGTCCTCTGCTGAAAGCAGAGATGATGAAGGAAAAAAATCAAAAATAGCGTAAACAGAAAGCTTTCAACCAGCCCTTTACTTTGTATGTCTCGGGACAAAACTCCCTCTCAGGCAGCTCCATTGACCGGCAGGTTTACGCTGAATTGCTGAAGGCCCCCCTCCTTCACGTAGCTGTTGTTAGCGGGAAGCTTTCGAGGAGGGACGTGCCAAGGGTTGCGTCTAACTGCGCGGGGCAACGGCACAGCCGCAGAGGGGCCCTGCTGCCCGGGAGCCCCCACGAGGGAGCGCTCCCTGGGCTGAGGGTGGGAGGGGACCAAAAGACACTAATGGGGATTCTCTTACACAGACACACACTCAATGCATACGGAGCAGAGAACAGTGTTTTGTTTTTTAAAGGTGTTTTACTGTAAATAGTCCACTGTGACATTTTTTTTAAAATCAAGTACTACTTTCAGTTTTATCATTTTATATTTTGGGATTTTGTCAAAAAAAAAGGATGATGTTTGTGATTTTTTTTTTCCTTTTCCTATATGCAATCCAAACCGAAATTCAGGTTTTTGGTGATAATCCTGTACATTTCTTACGTATTTCTAACAGCACATTTCAGGACAGCTAAATGACTACTGATACACACAGAAACATGACGACTAAATAAAGTGCTTTTATGGAGACCGTGACTTTTATTTTTCCCCCATACCCCATGCATAGTTTTATAATGGAAAAGGCAGAACAAAAGGTGAATATTTACACTGTCGTGATACAAATTAGCACTAACGAAGCCAGGGACTATTCAGCCATGCAGATACACGTATTGTAATAGTTGCTAATTAGCAGGCTCCTTCTAGGAAGCGGATCACACTCGTGACACAGCCCAGAAAGGCATTGCAGCTAGCTGCCTCGCAGCCTTACCTGCTACCATCAGCGTTTTAGAAGGACAGTGCTGGCATGATGTGGTTCCTCCCCAAATGCCTTTCTCTGGCTTGTGGTCTATACAGCAGCCTCAACAGGGGCATCTGTAGACGTACACGAGAGTTCAGGATGGCAACATGTGTCTTGGCAGTCTGTTTTGGCCAGCTCATTCCCAGAGCTGTGAGCGCAGGCTCTCACACACGCAGAAATCAGCAAGCAGCAAACGCTACCCAGGCACAAAGCCCCAGCAGCAGGGAGCGGGGCCTTCGGCTTTGACTGCCCCTGTCACTGCTATTACTGGGCATGGTCTAGTTGTGCCCCTCACCCTCATACCCCAAGGAGCCCCTCCTGAAATCATAAGTCGAGCTGGGAGGAAATGCGGCTTCCTCTGCAGGTCAGGCTAACCTGCCTTAAAGAATGGACCAGGAAGGGTGAAAGCAGAAAAGATGATGTGTTTACAGGGTTTAAAAAAAAAAAAACCCAAAGTTGTTTTTAAGTGATGGAGTCACTGATAGACAGCAAGGCTAAATACTGCAATAGAGTGAACACAATGAAAGCAAACTTGTGTTTTTAATCACTACAGTAGGAAAAGCTCCATGAACATCTGCTACAAATTGGCACAATTTAGGCAGGATGTGTGAAAAGGTCTGGGATTTAATTCTCATTAAATGCAGCAGGATCCGTCCATTACCAGCAATTATTTATAAAGGGCTGCTCTCAGCTGACTAGTGCCATGAATGTGTGACAGGTGATTTTGGCTACTGAGGAGTGCAACAGGGTATCGCTAAGAGAAACACTTCAGAAAGGCAGCCATGCTGACTTTGGTGTGCAGCCAGTTGGACCCCGCAGCCCAGCACTACTGGGCAGCACCGTGAGGTGGGTTTAGAATTTAATTTTTTAAAATAGATGGACCTAACTTTGGAAGTTTTCACTTAGTGCGAGAGGCAGAAATCCCATCTACAGGGCGAAGCCTGCCTCTCCCTGTAATCCCCATGGGCCCCTCGGGAAGCGGTGGGGATGCGAGCTTTGTTGGCAGAATGTTTTTCAGGAGGACAGAGCTCATGGTGGGGCTTCTCAGCACCAGGTTGCAATGGGTGTCACAGAGGGCAGCATCCCCTGGGCTAATTCCTAGCCAGAAAGTGCAGGAAAAACAAGGTTTATGGGTGCTGCTCCTCAGACTGGCCCCAGCTCTGGCAGGCTTTTGCAGGCCTCAGTCCTAGTGCATTAGGAACCCCCCACCGTTCTCTCCACCACACCTGCCCTAGTTGTGGCTCCAAATACGCGATGTGGGTTTGGTTTTAAATTCTGATTACTGACATAGTTAGCTAAGGTTATACACGGACAATTCAGGTGAAGCACAGTCTTTTGTGCGTGCACCGCTTTCCCTAAGTGGAGGAAGGCAGGAAAAGTTCAGTGAAAGATGAGATGAGACTGTAATACGATTTCTCGTCGTCTGTCAGTCCTGCGTTGCCTGGTCTGATCACCACAGCCACGTGGGTATCGGCTTCCTCAGCGGCATTCGCTTCTGAAACAGAGAGGGGGGAGAGCAGAGATGAAAAATCCCCTAAAACACTGAGGTGTTTTTTTTTTTTAAAGGTTGGGACTTAAAGACCAGCTTTAGCGTGCGGCACTGCAGGGCTCTAGAGAATGCCCAGCTCCTAGCAGACCTGCTTTGGATGACGATAGCCGCTGCGTAACACGAGCTGGCTGCCTTGTGACCTCCTCTCTCCCCGCTAATGCCTGTTCAAGGCATGGTGCAAGCAGCACGCACCTATAGCTTGACTCACGTCACGAAAAAGCTGGGCTGTGGCCTGGCAGCGGCGTTAGGAGTGAAACACCCACGACGATGGAGCCCTGACCCAGAAGAGAAGTATTTTCTGTGCAGACGACTGCTGCTTTTCCCTCCAGGCCTGTCCCCAGCTCCCTTTGGCCTCTAAGCCTGGAGCTCTGCACCCTCCATCGTCTCTCCCTGGGAAATTCACCCTCTCTGGCAGGTCACCCACCCGTGACTTGGGCCCCAGCAGCCTGGACGTGGCACGCAGGTCACATCCCCTACGAGGTCTGCCAGCAACCCCGGGCCTGTAGATGCAGAGGGGAGTTGCGGCAGCTCGGCCAGAGCGCGCCGAAGGACGCCAAGCAGCCCAAGGCCGAGCGCCAGGTGCT